TCTCATATAACATGTAAGTGGCAAGGTGGCAAGTTTTTGGGTTTTTCATTTCTTCTTTCACTGTTTCTATGACAAAAATGAAAACCATCATTACTTCCCACTGCATCGCTAAAGCTTGGAAACATTTGGACATTGCTATGCTCTATCCTGCCTTCCCACTAAGACCCAGGGTGCCAAGGCAACTCCCACTGGAAAACACTATTAACTATTCAGGCAAAGGAAAGAAGTCATGGTGAACTCTACCCAATCCAGAAGTAATTCCTAGAACTGCCACAACATGCCATCAGTGTACGGGGAATGCAGTCCCAGCCCCCAAGGAAGGGAGTTTGCGCACACAGAGAACTAGTCTTGTTCCTTCAACACACCTAGTGCCAGGAACACTTCCTGCCAGCTGCCCATTCTCCCCTAGCATGCTCCGATCCACGGGACTGCTCGGCACCCTTCTGGTTCTGTCTCTTGTGTCACCTTCTCCATGAGGCCTTCAACCACCACTACCCATGTCCCGCGTCTCTATGGCACACCAAACCCGCAAACACTTCAGCACAGTGTGTGTGTGGGGGGGGTAACACAAATTTATAAACTGAAAGGTAAAAAAAATTAACAGCTGATAATTCCAATTTATTCAACCTAACTGTAGATATGAAGTCTTTCAGAATAAAAAGTTGAGAGTTGATGGGGCTAGAGAGATGGTTCAGTGGTTAAGAGCACTTATTGCTCTTTCAGAGGACCCAGATTCAATTCCCAGCACCCACATGGTGACTCACAACCATCCAAAACTCCAGTTCCAAGGGACAGGAGGTCTTCTTCTGATACTGCAGGTATGCACATGGTGCAAATACATGTATTCCAAAAAACACACATATATATGTAGTGATATTTTGCTTATGTTTTAACAAATAAAGTTTGCCTGAAGATCAGAAGGCAGAGCTAAGCCACTAGAAACCAGGCAGTGCTGGCAAACACCTTTAGTCCCTCTTGGGAAGCAGAAAGATCTGTTAGTTCAGGGCCATCCTGGGCTACACAAGATTTAATCTGTCTAAAAGAGAAACAGAGCTCACACAATGGCGATTCCAGCACTTGGGATTTCGTGCCTTTAATCCCAGCACTAGGGAGGTGGAGACAGGAGCAATATGGCTGGGCAGAGAGAGGAATATAAGACGGGAGGAGACAGGAGCTCATAGCAGTTTGGGGTTTGGTGGACAGATGAAGTCTAGAGATGCAGTCTAAGGACAGGACCGCCCCTTCAATCTGAGCATTGGTAGAGTTAAAGAACTCTCTACGGCTGGCCTCTCTGCTTCTCTGATCTTCAGCATTAACCCTATATCTGACACTGGATTTTTACTATTAAGACCAACTAGAATTCATACTACATATACATAAACTAAAAGTGTGTGATGGACGTGGAGCAGAGTGAGCCAGGGTGACCGGAAGCAGGGTGGGAAGACATCAGAGCGCCACAGCGGCTATGACAAGATGAAGAAAGTCAGAGCACGACTCAGCTTTCTTTCTGATGCTGTGACTCAGGCATCTTTCCATTTCAAGTCTCAGAAGAGGACTCATGAATCCCTGAATGAAATCCCATGGCGTGTTAAGTCCAGGAGGCTGTGCTCTGTCTTACAGTGGTCTCCATTCCCGGGAGACACGCGGCAGTGTGCGGACACACAGCAGCATCTCACCTTCACTACTGGGTTCTCTTACACTGAGGATTAATGTCATTTTAATCCCTCCCAGGGTCAAGAGCCTGAGCTATGCTCACATCTGACTTGGGTTTCTTTATCAAAGAGAGAGAAAGCAGTCAGGGTGAAGGACGGAGATGCACTGAGAGGCAGGTGGATTTACAGGAACCCACACTGCTTCCCCCAGCAAAGGCAAGTGTGTCCAGATGAGCTGAGCCACAAGTCAGGGCAGGCAGGCTGAGATAAAATCGCTCACCACCCTGAGGTCTGGACTTGCTCAGGAAGGCAAGGAAAAGATTGAATGAAGTGTACACGCAGGGGAGTAACTGGGACAGATGACACTCGGCTACTATGAAGAACATAGAAGAGAAAGGACAAGTTCAGAGATATTTTTTAATGAGCACAACAATAGAACTTGGTCATTCTTTGGAAGTGAGGTATGAAGAAGTACTGGAAAGTGTAGATTTCAGGCTTGGCTATCTACATGAAGAAAAAATTCTGTAAACTGAGAATACAAGAGATTTCTTCAGGCAAGCAAGGCAGTCAGGCAGGAGGCATGTACCTGCAGTGCCAGGTCATGGGAACGTGGGGGATAACTGTTGGAGCCCAAAAGATCATAGAGGCTTGTATCTCTATCCCAGAAGTGGGAAGCTGGATAGTGGAAGTGGTTTCCAGAGTTTCTCTGGCCAACCAAAATGGCAAGCTCCAGGTTCAATGTGAAACTGGCTCAAAATAAAAATAAAAATAAAAATA